AATTAGTGTGGCTCTGAACCTACTAGCTTGCTCATGGTGCATATGTGCACTTGTTTGTGGGAATATTTGGCTTATGTTCGTTGGTAGATACTGATGTTTTTAGTAGAGAGTAAGCTTATGTTTTTTGGTAGATACTGATGTTTTCCAAAGATACTGACTTTAGTAGATTCTTATGTATCCAAAGATATCCACTAATTTCTTCTCCTACTTGTTGCACATATATGAGAATATACCAGGTGCTATATATTCCTGGCAATGTTGACTTTATTATTTCACAAGAGATATTGTAAACATTTTTCCTTCTTTTTAATTTTAGCCATTTCTGGTTGGAGGGAAATGTAAAACTTGACTTATCACTTGCCTTACTTCAGAAAAGATTTAAAGATTGTTTTACTTCTACATAAACCAGCCCTCCTCTCTTAGCTTCCCTGTATGTTGGCTTTGCTCTCTTCACCACTAATTTCCCCCAAGTAGTGACAACATAGGGTCACAGAAAATTCTACTGTTGTTCAAATTTGAGAAAACCGAACCCTAGAGGAATCAAGGAATGATTCCTTAAGGGAATGAAGGAATTTAAGTTAGATTTTAAAGAGGTTGGAAAGATTTGGAGGAGCAGAGAGAAAGATTCTGCTAGCGACCTATGTTCAGTGAGTGAAGAACAACAGCATCAGAGTGTGCAGATTGACTGTGGCTGAGAAACTGGGCTGTTCCCAGTGCTTTGCTTGTTGCTTTGTTTAGGTAAATTAATCTGGGCAAAGGAACAGGCGGTAAACAACTGGAGGTTGTTACAGACAATGTGGAGAGACAATGGAGGGCCTGGTTTAGAATTTAAATCAGTATCAGAAGACTACATAGGAGTTAGAAGTAGGTGGAAGGAACAATTGATGGTCCTTGCTATTCTTGTTTTCAGACCACCATCCCGTGCCATAACTTGGATGCCTGACTTCCGCGGCTCAGAGAGAAGGGTCATGCTTTTCCACTGTCTGGTCTCCTTTCCCTCCTCTGACAGAGAATCACTGACATCCAGATTAGCACAAGACTGTTGTCGAAGTGAGTACCAAAACTATGCCTGTGCTTCTGAGGCCTAACTATTGGAGGGTGTTATAGGAGAAACGTATTTTCATGCTTTCCCACTCTTTTAATCATTTCTCAGGATGGAAAGGAAGTTTTAAAAAGGAAATCTTATTTTAGGGAGATCAGGAGGCTAATTTTGGGCATGTGAATACATTTGCAGCTCTTGCATCACGCAGGGCATTTCACACAAGTGCTCTCTTCCTGTCTAAGTCTGCTAGAGAAGTTTCAAGTTACCCCATCAACTTCTTCCTCCTTTTCATATCTTCATATTTTCCCGTTTGTGCATGAAGCAGCAGTCTTACTATCGAAATGTATATTTTACTTTGAAATATTTAAAAATGAATCGGTCCCATCCCCAGCTGCCCATTTCAAAATGCAAAAGGAATGCATCCAATTCTCACTCTCTCTGCACCCAGAAGTTATGAGAACTTGTGCAGAAGATATATATATATTATATATACACACATGCGCGCGCACGCGCGCGCACACACACACACACACACACATATAGTACCGAATGGAGATGGTGCGGTGGAATCTCTAATGTTTACCATGATGAAGAATTCTGTTGCATATCTGGAGCCAAATGGTAGGTTTTTGTTGAAAGGTGTTTGAATATCTTCAAGGAAGTCTGTGATGGGCTAGGTGTATGGAGCAGTGGTGTGCTGAGACAGCTCTCCAGCCGGTCAGCAAATAGAAGTTGTTTATGGAGTGGGCGTTTCATTCCTCCTTTCCCACTAGAAGTGTCCGTGATACTCCTTGGGCTTCAGTTCCTAAATGTATAATATGTGCTTCAGGCCCCCCACCTTTTCCTACTTTTTATTCACTTGCAGTGTGGACATCACACAGAGGTAAAAAAAAATCTGTTACTAACCACATACACAAA